GCTGTTCTGCAGCAGCTGAACAGACATCCTAGACAAGAGTTTGCTAACTGCCCACCAGCAATTGTTGAGTGATAACACACACAGCCCCCCACATTTAGGCAGATACTCAGGTTAATATGACAGTTTTATACCTTGAAGCTCAATACACAGTAATTAAAACAAAATGTTTTGACAGTCAAAACCAATGACTATATAAATTAGAATGCTGTAAAAAGCAATGGTTTAAAAAAATACAGATCTATAGATAAATCAGAATGTTGCAATAGAGAATAATTTAATACAAGACTGTTAATGTAAAGAAGATCTTAAATACAGACTCAGATTCTGGCTGGGAGAAGAATAATCTTCAGAACTACAGCTAAGGGAAACTGAGAGATTAAAGAAGAAAAAAAAATCTTCTTGCTAAAGAAGAAGTGCAAGAAAATGCTAACCCAGGTCTTAGATTCACACCCAGGGCCATGCAGCCCTGTGATATGTCTAAGCAGGTGCAATCTGAAGTTATCTTTGATGAGGCTCTTTGACCCAGAGATTAAATACCTCACTTGGTCCCACATCCTGTTACACACATGCTACGGAGCAAAACGTCAGGGATCATGCCTAAAGGTATTGAAGAGGATGCTGCCACACAATTTTATTCTGTCTTTCTTCAAGACAAATCAAGCAGTAGTTGTCAGCATATGTGATTCCTAAGAAAAAAACCCACACAGCAACGCTAGATTGAAATTAGTTTGTCCTATGTGGTGTTTTCTCTGATATACCTCATGATGATGAAGCAACATTGTTCACTAGTAATGACAGTCATGGGATACCTTTTAAATAATAACAATATGAACAATGGATTTAGACAATCCTCACAATTCTTCCTTGTACTCTGAAGGACAAAATTTGTTTTAGTTCACTTCCTAGCAACACATCCCCCTAAATGCTGGATCTGCAAGGCTTTACATATAGGATGAAACCTGCCATCGGTTTTGTATATTGAAATACTATGTAATGGCTAAGATGAGTGTGGAAAAGACTAGAACACAAGAAAGCCCTTACTGCGTATTGATTTTGCCATGAAGACTTAAAAGTTATATATACAAGCCTGCAGGTTCTAACCTATAAGGACAAGAATGAACATTGTTGGTCACCATATCTGTGAAAAATGTCAGACACACATAATATACGTAACACTGTGGTTTTTAAAAGAAGTCTCTGTCAAATATCTGATGCCTTTAATTTCAAAGGAAAATCTCATTAAGTGTATGAGATCTTTACCACTAAGAACGAATGCCACTAAATCACCTGTAGCAATTTCAAAGAGTCACTGTTTAAACTGCTATTCAAATAATTTCAAGATTAAATTTCAAATGGAGCATCATTAAAATACAAGACCCCCACCTGCACAATGTTTTTCCAGAAATGCCTCTTCCTATATACAAAGCACTTCTATTTAACAAAAGTTCTTCAAAAAAAAAAAAAAAAAAAAAAAAAGCAAAAAATAAACATCCTAGTTTTTAATTCTCTAGATAGGGATTACACATATCCCAGAAAGTGATAATATGCACACAATCCAAGAAAGAGAGAGACTGCCATTTCAGGCTGTATAAAGTTAATAATGGGCTGATAATTCACTTGGCACTGAAAAATGTATATTTATAAGCAACCTAAATGACTGAAAATAAAACAATGTTGAGTAGTAAAGTGTGTGAAATAGGCATAATGATAAAAGAAATTAAATTAGACCTCCTACAATGACAAAAATAAATCAAGGATTTTTGTTAATGGATGGGTGATTGCTGCTATGTTGCCATGGAAGATTTTCCTTTAACCTGGCAAGATAAATGGGAAAAAAATCATTCCATAAATCTGCCATCTGACTTTTCTTGAGTGCAACTTTCTAAAGCATTTTAAATACATTTAAGAGTCTGACTCTAAATGCAAAGAGATTTCCAGAACAGATTCCAAAAAATCCTGTTGGAAGGAGTAGCCATTTTTATGCAAGTAAACAGCCCCAAGGCTAAAGTAACAACAAACTAGAAGACAAACCCCAGAGCAGATTGTTTGCCAAAGAATTCACTTATAGGTATGTGATGCGCTAGTTGTATCAGTGAGCGTAAGGGGATTTTAAGAAGTCTGGAGCATCTGCAAATCTCATGAGAGCTGACAAAAAAGTGGGTGTCTAGCATTTCTGAAAACTGGGTCATTTCTACTTAACCATAAGGACTGTGGAAGTTTTACTTACTTACTACAGGACACATTGAACCCTGAAACTTGTGCCTATTACAGACTGATCTGCACATTCATGGTACATAAATTTTATTACGTATCTGTGAAACAGAGTTTAATCTTAAACCTTAACTTAGATCTTAAAATCACTTCCTTTGAACTCATACAGACAGACTAACTTGGACCAGTCCTGGTCTACTGAGAAACGTTAATTGTGGCATTTTTTCCTTTGACCTCATACTAACTCAGAGGCTGAGTGTCACATCTAGAGTATTAAATTAGACACAAGACTTCCTTGTGTGGAAGATTTCCCTCCTGGGCAACAAAAAGAAAGGAGAGGTTTCTACCAAAGCTAGGATCTTTTATTTGCCTTGCCTTACCTTTCCTTTCCTTGTTTTGCCGCACTGCATTTTGGTTTTCTTCTGCAAACATCATGCATAACACCCTTGAGGTTACTGTTAGGATGGGACAGCTTTCTTCTGTCTGCATCTCAGATGCAGCAGAAAATAGTGACTGGACTCCTGGTAGCTCCATTGACTTAGCAAGGAAGAGTAAGTGCTGATGTTGGCTCAGTAAGAGGGATCTTGAAAAGTTCAAGAGTAAGTTTCCCTACCAGTGAGCACTGAAGAGTCCTGTTTAATGTTGTTCTATTTTCTCCTCAGAAACTAAGAGGGGAAACTTCAGGAGAAGTATTAACTATGTCTGCAACTCCCAGTGGTGGCTAAGTCCTACAGAGCAAATCGTGTCCCTCCAGGAGGCCGGTTCTTACAAGGCACAGCAGTGCCTTCAGATTGTCCTGGTACCAAGCAGTGGGTCTAATTCTGGCTGTCACACAAGTGAAAATGGGTGACTGAGCAAAGGGCAGGACCATCACCAGCACACAGGAGACAGCAGGGACCAAAGCCTGATGCTACATGAAGGGCTCTGAAGCACATTGAATGGGAACACTACATAGCCCAAAGTTTGTCACCTTGGCTCCACCTGTGGAGCCACATGTGCCTACTATGTGCCACAGAGTGTTCTTCAGTTCCTGAGCCACATCTAGCCATAAGTATGCAAATATTTGTGAGGGGGGGAATGCTTACAAAAGGCACTCTACGGTTGCCGTATGTTATTGAAACAATTAAAACTGAGGTGGCATGGGTGGGGGGAAGTTAATTAAATTGTTAGTAAATACCTACTAATGTTTGCATTATAGTCATTTAACTCAGTACTAATGCATTTTTTGTACCTTCTGCATCTGTTCCAATTTTCTCTGTTTCATTGTAAATGTATACAACATTCTGAGATAAGGCAGTTTTTTCATCTTTGACAGGAAGACATTAAAGAGACAGTTGGTAGTTTAGAGTGTCATTTTGTTCTTACTAACACAAAATAAAAACTGGTTTGCGGCATGGAGTTTTCAGGTCTTGCCAGTATTAAAGTTAAGGATTCTGCATATGGACCGCTGCAACTTTACAAGTATCTTCCATTTCACAAACAGTAGTCAGGGACCACATTTTTTCAGGTTTGGGGTGTAGGGGAAGGCTGTATTGTAACTGCACGTGCAAGCTTCATATTGCAACAGTGCATTTACGCATAGTATTGAAAACTGAGAAAGAAAAAAATGACAGTCTTTGTAGCAGAGAACTTAAAACATCCTGCCATAGTGATGGCAGAAAGACAGACAGGGAAGAGCAATGAGATACTCGACAGCCTGAAGAAGCAATGCCAGGGAGCCTAGCAATTTATTCCAGTTCTTTATTTTTATGTGTTTTCTAGAACACAATTTGTTTGCTCACCAAAAAAAAACCAAAACCAAAAATAAACAAACAAAAAAACCCCCCAAAAAACCCCAACAAAACCAAAAACAAACAAACAAAAAAACCCCACCAAAAAACACCAAAGCCAACAAACCAAAATCCCAAAGATGACTTAACATTACCCAGCAAAGAACTTCTTCAGAACTTTGCATGCAAGTTAGTCAGGAGAAATTAGCCTTTGCCTTTTTATAAAGAATTAAATCAAGCAGAGGTGTCTAAAAACATTTTTCTGTTCTCTGAAAAATAAAGAAAGGGGAAGAGGAGAGTAAGATACTACTGAATAATTACCCTTCAAATCATAAACCCTTGAAATAAGCCCCTTTTTGCTTTCCACTATTGCAACTGTGAAGTAGAGTTTGGCCAAAGATGACATGTTAGGGGAGGGAGGAGCACCTGAGAAGGTACTTCAGGATACCTGACTCAGAGATGTAGAAGAATGACTAGAGAATAGCCTCCAGGGAATGAGGTTTTCACTGCTCTATGATACAGAGTGGAGAGAGAAAACAGGACACAACTCCCAGCAGCCCATTGTTGGTGGCTCTGGAGGACACTGGTGGTGACCCACAGATGGCCTCAGAGGGTACAATGAAATCAGTATTTCATTTTACATGAAAACCCATGCATGTGTTTTCCAGAGGGCTTCCAGTGGGCTCCCTGCAACTGATGCTCTGAGGTATGGCCAGACCCATCGCCCACACTTTTACTGGTCTGGGGAACATGAGTTTGGACCAAATGAGTAGGGTTTACACTAATACTACAATATTCAGCTCAGATACTTATGGTAAGTATAATTTGTGTGTTCTTCTTCAGAAATCAGGACTCTGGGGATGTTTCAGACTGAGCAAGAAAGAAATACAAGCCACTTCAGAATCACTGCAAAAGTCCTGGTCAGGCACTTCAAAATGCTAACTGTTCATCCTCATTTGTAACTTTTCCATTAAATCAGAAATCTTGAAGACTTTCACTTTTTGCTAGTTAAAAACAGTGGGATAGGAAAAAATTTGTTTGTGTGTCTAGAAATCATGTGAGTTTTACACCTGCATGCAAAACAAAATAAATATATTTTGCTACTACTTTGAACTACATAGCCACTTCTATTAAAATTGGCATTCAAATAGCTATCTCTTGTGTGCCATAGATTAGTCATACATTTTCCCAAGGAAGATTAAAAGTAGTGTTCAGGAGGGAAACAGAGAGTATTTTGCAAATGAGTCCAGATGGAAAACTAACAGATGGCCTTGTGCTGTATTTTGTATGCTCAGCTCTATATTTAAATAAAAAATTTTCATAATTAAGATGACAGTCTGTAACAACGCTAGCTACTTTTCCTGTGGCAACATCATACATCATGAATCACATGCATGAACTACAGGCTTTTTATTAAATAGTGGTTAAATAGTGAATCACATGCATGAACTACAGGCTTTTTATTAAATACAAATCTTGCTACTCAATTTCTTTAAAACAGAGGGGAATAAAATGTAATTCACGAAAATCAAAGAATAAGAAAAATAAAAATCTTTCATACAAACATATGTCATATAGTAAAGACATTTACCACCATCTGGTCTTTCTTCTTCTGCAAACTGAATGGCCCACCACCTTACTTGGAAGGGAAAGGAGAAGAATCACATTTGTTATAGGTCTTCATCCAAGAACCATAATGCCAGTAGGATTTTTCTATTTCATTACCTGAAAGAAATGGGGTTCTTGAATTTCAATAATTAGAAGATCTGGAGAAGATAAACTGTGCCCTACACATATATTGTAATCTGACAACTGAATAAAGAGAGTGTTAGTATTTTCCATAAAGTGGTATGTGTATGTATGCAGATGTTACTGCCAGAGAGTGCTGCTAAAGCAAGGACTGTACCTTGTCCACAGGGGACACAGCATCCAGAGGAAGGGCTCCTTTCTCAGCATGCAGCCCTAGTCTGTGCTCCCTGACACCCACAGCACTGATGCAGCCTGACAGACATGCAACAATTGCATTCACACCAAAGAGCCTCTCTACATCTTCAGCATTTTTTTCACGCCGCCTGTGAGGAGGTAAGAGGTGCTCATTTTACAGTGGTCTGCAAGCAGGGTCTACTGAAGTCAGTGGCAAGTTACACTTAATTCTGGGCCACTCAGAGTTCAGGAAGAAAAAAAGTGGCTTAGAAAACTTCCATCTTTCTGCTGTGCGCCCTGAGGTTTTCCTCAGTTGTCTCAAGCCAAAAGGTAACTGTGACTTTGTGGCAAGAGGGACTGCCTCTGTACAAGATAGAAATGCTACACAAATCTACCTGTCCAGAAATCTTTAGTACCAGCAGGGTTCAATAAAGATGACTCCACCAGGAGACACTAGGCTGCAAGTCAGCAGCTCAGTGGGCTTACAAATCATTCACAGTGGTAGAAAATATGTGCTTTGTTATCAAATAGCTTCTTCTATTGCTCTCACAGTCATAACATTCAAGTGCCTTACCACAGCACATTAAATACTGTGACTCATAACTATCATCTGCCTCATTTTCCAGCTTATCCTCTCCCACAGAGGGAATTTGATGTACAGCAGGGTGTCTTGTTTTGGTAGGGTAAATACTATTTTTTTTCACATGTTTCTGTTTATACATTAACAAAGGAAACCCTGGAACTGCATGCCCTGAGTTGGAGTAGAGCAAGGGATATTTGTGGCAGTCATTTTCTCCTGTGGGAGGACAAGGACAACAGGTACAGCTTAGCTCCAGGGATGGCAAGCTTGCCCTTTTTGAGAACAAGGCCTTTTTGAAGCAAAGACACCAAATTTAGAAACTTTTTATTCTTGATAAACCACTCTGTAAACAGACAGTTCTAAGGTACTCATGTTGTTATTTGTAAAACCAAGTAAGATGCTGATTCCTTCTTAGGGAGTGCTGCTATCATGCTGTCACTCTTTGCTCTTCTGGAATTTGCTGTGTAGGTTTGACATTTCTGGAAGTCAATCTTAAAGTGAGCGCTCACTCATTAAATTCTTCCTCTTTTCCTCATGTGTGCAGCACTGATCAGTGGCTGCAGAGACATCTGCTGGTTGTCACAATTTTGAGTATGTAGCAATCATAAGGAAAACAGAAAATTTATCAAGTAACATTTAAATTATTTCACAACTTTCTAAATTTCCAGAAATTTCTTGAATTCAGATTGCGCTGATTGATGTAAGGGAGGAATGAAGAACTGGAATAATCTGTTTCTGTTATGAGATTTAGTAAGCCTTTTAGAGTTGCAGGAAATCTTGTTTGAACAATGACTCTGATTTTAGGGATTGAAGTTTTGCATTAGCAATATCAGAGTTAGGTTTGTTGAAACTTTTATGATGAGTCCCACATTCTACATAACATCCCCAAACATTTTACCTATGTACAAAATGGTGTTTTGTTTTTAGTTCTCTATTGCAAGAGCAAATTCTTCAAAGTAAAAATATTCTTTGTCTATTGGTGCACTGTTTGGAAAAGACACACTGCCATGAAGGTAGATACTACCTTCTATTAAATTATTTCCATGGCTTGCAGTGCTTTATGTTTGTGTTTGGGAAGATGGACTTCATGTCCTTGCAATAAGGCTCTACTCACACATTGTCCTGCCCACCCCCTGTCCCCTCCACTGACATTGTCAGAGTTTAAACCAATTTCACCTTATTTCCAAAGTTGTCATCTAATTTACATCATTCAGAAGATCTGGTAATTCAATAAATTGAAACACCAGTTTGATAACACAGAAACATGCAATATAATCTGGATTTTCAAGGCTGATGAATTTGACTGTAAATCAGTTCTGTGCAGAGGTTTGCCTCTTCTGTGCTTAATTACACCTGTGCAAACATCCATTTGTTTATCGTTGCCAAAAAACCTGTGTGAGCTATTTGCATTCCCAGAAATCACATTTCCATACTGAGCACTTCTCTGAGAATGACATCTCAGCCATTAATTCAAATGTGACACACAAAATCGTTAATAGTCTCTTAGTTGAACGTACCTGAATTTTCACCCCATAGTTCTAAAGAAACTATGTGGCTGTAAGTGTAGCAGACTTAAAAGTCAACTGCTTCTGAAGGATGAAAGAAAATTCATTTTTTTTCACTTCAAATTGTTTTGTACACACTTATTGTTCTTTGTTATTCTATGAGTTCCAGAAACCTCTAAGACCCTGCTATGCACATTAGTCATTGACTTTATCCCCACAAGGGCAAGACAATGGGACGTTTCCTCATGAACACTTCTTCATCTGGGAAACATGGCAGACATTTCTGTAAGTTGCATGGTCCTGGACTGTGTCTCCAAGAGCAGGCTGAAGTAGAGGTTAATAGGCATGAGGATTACTGCACTGTGGGAACTTGGGCACTTCAGTCTTCAGAGTAGACTTCTGTGACAGAGCTATTTTCTCAAGTACTGCTCAGACCAGGAGCTAAATTTAGATGCTTACCATGTTAGATGAAAAACAGTGTTTTGGGAAATGTGCTGAGGCATTGATCACTGATTAACAGAGGGGAGAATTACCAGTTAGTTGACTTTCCCTAGCTAAAATAAGAAATGGCTGATTTAGGGCAGGTGGTCAAATACTCTCGCAGCGACTCTCCTACTGCCACAAGACCCTTCTGGTGGAAAACTGTTGGTCTGACAAATGAATATGCAAAGGAAAGGTTGAGGACAGCTGCAGATTTTAGAGTAGTGACCCCAGCCCAATTACACAGATGGAAGCAGCCACAGAGAGGCAGAGAGCAGATATTGCAAGTTTAATCATGGAAGAGACGTAAGTTGCAAGAGCAGGTGAAGAACCATTTCCTTCATTTTAACCTTGGGATATCCTTTCTCAAAGCATTTCTCAGCTGCTTTACTTCACAAATAATGAAATGGTCATTTTCAGGCATGATTCTTTTCCTGGAATTCTTCAACAGAAAAAGTTTCAGTTGCTACTAAACCTGGAGTTGTGTCTTTTATCTGGAAAGAAGACAAAAATGAAGACAAGAGGGGAGTTATTTCATGACTTGAAAAAAACTTCAGAGCTCCAAAGCAGGCGCCTCACTCGGTTTCCTTTAAGCTCACATGCTCTGACCAAGTATCATAGTCCATTTAAGATTGCAAATCTGTCATGATGGTCATTGTGTTTTCTTGTGAGAATTTTGTTTACACACAGAGCCTGCTTGCTGGTTCTCTTGCCTAATGAGATTGTTTGGTTCTGTTTTGCTTCAACATGTCGAGGGGTATCTTCAGTTATCAAATCTTGAATGAGTGGCTCACTGCCTTCTCAAAAGCACTTTCACTACTGACAGATGAAGAGTAATATATAAGTAGATTATTTCACAGTACAGCATATAACATAGATGCTAGGGGAACCATAAGGCTACTGCCTTTTGTTAGTATACCTAAGGAAAAGCATGATTATTTACATCTCTTCTCTACTTAATGTGACATCCTTTAGCTAATGAGGGAGTTTCTGCTGTTTGGGAAAAACAGAACAAGATTTTTTAATAATTTTTTTAACTTCCTTTTAACTATGGCTCTATCCAGATAATGATGCTTCAGAAACTGAAGTCCACTGCCTGTCTCCATCAGGAATTTATATGAGAACTCATGATACTTTGATTTGTCAAGGTTAGATAAGGTGAGGTGAAGGCTTCCTATCGTGGCCTGTGGGAATGTTTGAAATCTTGCAGTGGGCAGGACTGCCTACAACCTTGCAGCTGACCTAAAACTCACCAGGGTTTGACACTGTTTATGCCTGCTGCAGCTGTTTCCAGTTTAATATACTGAAGTGCATTGGTTGGTGTTGGAGACACAGCCCACTGTAGCAAGCAGGTTTGAAAAACATTCTGTCTCCTGCTGCGCTGTTTTGGGAGCCTGCAAAACCAGGCAGAGGGAAAGACACACTTGGAAACAGCAAACTGTGTGACTGCTGAATGACTGGTTGACTCCCATGCTTCTTTAGCTTTGCTTATGGACTGGAGGGCTGGAGTCTGTTCACAGTGGTCATGGTCAGTGCAGGCATTTGAGCAGAACATGATGTACATGACTGTTGTTTGCAGAAAGATGAACGCTGCTTGGTGAGAGAGTTTATGCCTTAAAGGTTTCTGTTGTCCCTCAGCACTGAGGGCATTGCTTACAATGGAAACTCAGTGTTGTATCCTTAGCAAGCAAGTCAAGACTAAAACTGCCACAGCTGTGAGGATAAATGCTCGCTAAGTCCAGCATTTCTAAATGCTCTAAAATTATATGACATGCAAAATTAAGCACAGGATAATTTATGCATCAAGTATTCCCCCTTGTTTAACAAGGATGCAGTGAATATCCAAGACAGCGCAGTTAGGATTTTATCACAAGCTATGCTAAAAAAGGAGCAAACTTCAGCAGAGGGACTGAGAGCTGTTTTGTTTCCTGAAGCTGAACAATGAATCAGTGGAAATGTGACAGGCATACTGCAGCCAGGAAATGAGGGTTCCAGAGGAAACTTCTTTTGTGGACGTACTTTACAAATCCTTTTCAGATTCTCAGAGCAGAACATTCTCTCCTGTTTGTGTCGGCAGAAAATAAATTCCCCGAGTTAGAACCTGAAGTCCATTTTGCTTAGTGTTTGGGAATCCAGCTGAGGAAAGGCTAAGTAAAAATGGGCTAATAGGACAGCAGGATTTTAATCAAGTTTACATATGGTGATGTTGAGCATCATCATAACTCTCTGAAGAAATTCTTGCCTCCCTCACTCTGGGACAGCTAAATGAATGGCACTGGCACCAGAAATCATGTCCTCTTTATAAGGTTCTCAGGGAATGCATAGACACAGGCTTTACACATTTGGTCAGAAAGTACATTCCTCGGCTGCTGGGCTGCTGGCTTAAGGCTCCATCCATAAAGAGCACCAGGCTCTCCACAGAACTCACCTGGCATGACTCAGGCTGCCCACTTGACTGAGGCTGCTGTTGCCCCTCTGCCTCCAGTGCTATGCTCCCATGGTTTGGATTGCTGGAGTACCCTCAGAGGCAAATCCATGCCTGTTCTGTGTTAGCCCAACTCCCCTTCTCCTATTTTGTGGTGAGCTGGCTGGCTATTGAGCATACTTAGACAAGGCAGTATTTCTATGAAATAACACTGCTCTAAAGATACCACATTTTACTCTTGCTTCAAGCCACATTTTCAGTATTGCGTTTGATGCACACAGCTCCACCACATGCCTGAAGGAACCCCTGTCCTGACCTCCTTTGTAGTGCCTGGCTGTGGGGAACAGACACATGGCACGCTGAATAAAGTTCTTGACGGCTAACAGCTTGGCAAGGTTACTGGACTGCCCAGTTTTCTGCAGTTACAGAAATGCAAAGACTTGCACAGTTTGTTGTGGGGTTTTTTGGCTCTGCTTCTGCAATAGATGTGTAATTGAATCATATTCCTGGTGTACTAGCTAATTACAGCTCTCTAAAATAAAGGTGTCTTAAGGTTTTCCAGGTATCTGAGATAGACATCTTAGATAATTTTTCCACAGACAGCTCTTAAATCAGGTCTGCAGAAATAGTTTTCTAAGTCCTGTGACATAGCAGGGTAATGGAGTTTGCAATAGGTAGATATAGACAGGAACAAACTGTTACTGTGACTTTGTTGGTATATTTTCATACAGCTGGAATGCACACTTTTAAAAATCTGACATTTTTTGGTTTTCTTAGAATTGATCTTTCAAGTAGCAATAAAGAAAATGGAGATGGTGCTTATTCCTGCCTTGGGCAGCATTGCCTCTCTCTGGGGCCATGTGCTGCTGGAGAGGAAGCTGGGCATCAGCCCTGTGTTCCTTAATTTTTCCTTGCTCCCACACAGTGCATTACGAAGGAGCACAGCTGCCTGCAAAACACTATTATTACCATGCTGCAATCAGCAAGGTAGTTTGAAGCTAGAAAAGAGCAGTCACCACTGGCTTCCTATTATTCCTTGGGCCTTGTGCTTTGCCTGTGTGTTAGTTTGTGATTCTGCAGTGTTTCTTGACAAAATATACTAAGCACCTTAATAAGGATCAGCCAGGCCATCCCTTTCTGAAGGCTTTTATTCCCACTCTTGCAGCAGAGGGCCTCACAGTTATCAAAGGGTTGTTCTTCCCGCTGTCTCTGAAAGTTAGTGCACTGCAGCTTCATTACAAGAGGTCTGTATTTTATGGCAGGAGATGCTGACAAGAACATCAGCTACAGGGAAGGTAATGAAAGGGCAATATCCTGCTCAAAATCAGGCTTGTTTGTACAACACAAGGGAAAAAAAAAGCATTTAAAACATAGTAAGCACAGCTGGTGCTAAATCACTTTATTGTGTCTTTTCTCTTTCTTGTGGTAAGCTCTCTTTTCAGTGAGCCACAATGCAGTCACACTGTGCACTGCTCTGCCCTTCTCCTCGTGCAGGCACACATGTGTGCCAAGCCCTCGCTGTGCAGAAGAACAGAGACAGAGCTGACCTCCTCCTTCTGTCTTCCTGCAGTGCTTTGACTTTCCTTGGGTTTGAGACTTTTCCTCTCTTTTCTTCCCCTCTTATCTTCTTATACTTCCAACACTGAACCCTCTCTGAAACCCCTAGGTTTCAGCTTCCTCAGCTGATTGTTCCTTTTAACATTATTTTCTGCATTGAAATTAACATTTTAACATTATTTCCTATGCGCAGAAAGTGCTGAATTCTGTTTTTCTTATTTTCAAGACTTTTGCCATTTCGTCTTGTTCCAAGGTTCATACAGCTCTTCTCTGGAATCCTCCTGCTTTGTTCTCTTTCCACATTCTTCCACTGAAGAGGAGAGGCTCTGACCTTCTCTCCATTTCTCTGTCTAACAACTTTTTATTCCCTTCCTGGCATCAGCTCTAAAACATACCTACTGAAGAAAGTGACTCAGTTTTTTAAAATCTAGCCACCTATACAGAGAAATACAACAACCAGATAAAATCATCCTGGTTTTCTCCTCTTCTTCCTATTTTTTTTCCCTGAGTTAGGTAAGAAACTGTTTATATAACATCCTGCCATCACTGAAAATGGCTTTTATTCTGAAGGAGAAAAATGCATGGATGCCTGTGCAACAGGCTGAGCCCAGAGATATGTGCTCAGGATAAGTTGAAACTGTTTGAGCCAATCTGATTTTAGTTTTTGATTTCTGGGTTTCTTCTTTGCCTTTCTTTGTCTTTTATTTAGTTGCTTTTTTTTTTTTCTTAAATGTGTGTGTGTTGTTTTTTTGTGTGAGGCCTGTTTGATTTTGGTGTTGTAGAGGTTTTTTGTTGTGTTTTTGGGGGGCTGTTGTGTTTTTTTTTTTTTTTTTGTTTGGGTTAGTTTGGTTTTCTTGGGTTTTTTTTTGTTTGTTTGTTTGTTTGCAGGTGTTTTATCTTTATTCCTAAGTAATAAAGAAATGTTGATAATCTACCTTTATAGGGAAAGAAAAATGCTGATCACATCTATGTTAGCTCTCAAAAGAAAAGTAGCAATAGTGAAGCAGAATTATTTTTTAACACCATCTTTTCTCTGCGCTTATTAATCAGCAGATGTATAAATGGGACACTGGGCATTGAAAAAGACATTTCAAAATTGTTTTCCTTACTACTTTATCACATACTTTGAAGTTGAACAAATTATAATGAGCAAACTACTCAGTGAGTTTGAAGCAGTCTTCAATTTGTAAATGATGAATGCACTAGTTTACATTCTGACAGATTTTTTTGTTCATAAGGTTTTGAAATACACTTTGTAGCCATATATAAATTCAAGATTTTCCCATGAATAATTTGCTTCAACTGCCTGTTGGTTGAAAGTGATACCTTTCTAGTGGATTAGCAGCAAAAAAAATACAGGAAAATAATTCATTTTCTTACTCAGAAAGCAGGAAATAATATCAAACCATTCACAGAATGCTAAATATCTAGGTATTAGTGAATACAATCTCAAAAGGCCACTTCCAAAAAAAATGTAATCTGTGTAGGAAAGTGAATTTAACAGAATCACTG